GTTATTATTCCATTGACGAACTCAGCAATGGCAAAACGTTTGGCCATTAATAAAAATCTACAACTTTACTCGAGATACCAATTGTTCGATACTCGAGAAGTAAAATTCGTATTTCCGTGCGCCAACGAGCTCATTCTCTATTTTATAAAATGAATTTTAACGTTGTTTATTTATCATTTTTTTTATAACGCTCTTGAAATGAAAGCGCAAACAAACAAATATCGAAACGTAAAATTCGTATGCCCGTGCGTCAATGAATTCATTTTCTATTCTATAAACTTATTTATTTCCAAGGGTCTTTCTTCCAGAATAGCGTCCTTCTTAGCACTATAATTTTGCTATAGTTCTATATCATATTCTATGAACTATAGCTATTTCCAATTTTTTTTATTGAACTCTCTTTTACAAGCCTCCTTCCCCTGTTTAATGTTAACCAAATTCTTCGTTTTCAAGTTACATCACAGCGGMAATTTTTGAGGAACTTAAACAAAAGATTTCTCATTAGTATCTATTGTTCATTCATCCAACATGGCAACCGGTCTTTTATCTTTTGAACCTCATGAAAATGGTTGAAAACGATCAATTGAAAAACAGCAATAAACAGGTTATTGTTGATTTTTTATCGATCTCTAATATCATTATATACTGCATAAGTTTTACAAATAACACTTTTAAATTTCAAAGACATGTTTCGACTTTCATAAAGCCATCTTAAGTTTGAATGTGATTCCATTTTACAATCAGTTATATAGTAGTTATAGATAATATGATTGCATTACAACGGCACTATCCACTTGTAATTTCATCTCTTGTTTTAGTTTACTTTTGACCGTTGTAATTTAATCATATTATCTATAACTACTATATATTAACTGATTGTAAAATGTGTTGTGTTATTTTTAAAAATTATTGCATCACTTGTGCTTTTACGCTCACGTGGAAATGTTATACTGCATAAGGCAATAGTTCATTWTCGATACCCAGGTTGGATGGTAATGCACAAAAAAAAWTKRARKTTTCATGTTCATTTTTTTATTATTTTCTGACAACGTTTTTGCAATTTGCTGTAATGAAACACAAACAAACAAATATATAAACTCATAACTTCCTTAATCATCCAAACAGCAGGAAGACAACATATTTGATACCACAGGTATAGTAGGAAGTAATAAAAAAACACTCCATAGCCAATAAAGGGGGAAAAACTATTTTTAAATAGAAATRTAGTTTACGTCTAAACTCACAGCTTGAAACACGTGAAAGGAAACGAATTTTCGATATGTTTTTATAAATATTTGTGGTATTTTTTGTTGGTTTAGTCAATTTGGTTTGCTTTTATGAATGAGCTCGTGTGGCGAATTTTAAAGATTCAAATTTTGTGCGAAATAAATTATTATTGGCTGAGCATGATATGGGAAATTCAAATACAGGCTGTGAGTGGCTTTTATCCGGCAAAACTTGCGATTATTGTCGTTTTCAAATCATAATTTGTTTTGAATTAGGATTCTCAAATCTTTTCTTACAGGCAAGAAAAATTGCTATCGATTATCGCTAATCGATTCGATATCTTCAATTATTATCGTTTCTGCTTTGGGATTCTCGAGACTTTCCTTGGAAAACGAGAAAAAATTCAGTGCTATCGATTATCGCTAATYGAATCGATATTCTACTTTTGTATCAAGACTTTTCTCGTTCAAAACGAGAAAAAATATACAAATGTTGATCGCTATATATCGAATCGATATCTTCAATTATSAATATTCGTGGTTGAAAGCAAAATTGAACGCCAAAAAARTGTCTTCAAAATTTCTTTGTTTCGCTCCGGGAAGACGATAAATTTTTTTAGTTTTTCGATAAAACAATTAATTTTGAAGAAAAGCTTTTAACTTGTCAGTGGCACAAAATGTTGTCTCGAGGCACAAACTATTAAATCACAATTTCACTTCTGCGAATATTGCTGATACCAATATCTTGTGAATTTATATATATTTTTTGACGATACCCAAGCTACTTTTCTGTGTACAATTCTATGTACTGTTATTTCAAAGTAATTTTTTTGAATAGATGTAGAAGTCCARAACGCACCTTTGATACAGATTATTCGATGATTTTGATTTAAGCGGTCTTATCAAAGAATTGAATGTTATAATGAAATGTTATTTTGTAATCCTATATCGGATCAAATTATTGCAATAGTCATTATAGAGACAAGATGGTTTGATCGCCATATGTTAGCGAATGAAATGAAATAGCATTGAATATGAACGAGAGGAATGACATAAGATTGAGTGGGATAGAATGGGATAGAATGAAAAGAGGGAGAAAGATATAATGGGATATAGTGGAGTAGAGACGCATATCACAAAGAATAATGTAGTTTGAACAGGGAAGAACTCACATTGCATTATGAAATACAAATACAAATACTCAAGGACTGTTCACAATGGCGCGATTTTTGAGGCGATTTTTACGATTTTTTATTTATTTATTTTTTTGACCGGTCATTATGATCCTACAGARTAATGTTGAAGAATTAACTTGTAAACTTTTATTCAGTACACTTGAGGTGAGCTAACTAAACGTATAAAATGATAAAACTTTATTTTATTTATTTATTTATWTTTTTTGAAAATCGGCAGCGTAACCGGCCTTTAGAAAGAGGTTTTTTTAAAAAACATTACCTTTTTTCGTAATTGTCTTTCTTGATGAAAGCTATTAAATAAAGAAAGAAAAAAGAAAAGAAAAAAATCATTAAATTACACATGTAATAATTACACATGTAATAATAATTTTTAATCTAGAAAACTCCGAAAATTAATAATCGAGATACTTTCTTTCGAAAACTCCAGCAAAACGACAAAGAACCGCAGCAAAATCAAACAGAACTTAAAAAGCTCTTTCCTGTATTAAAAGTGTTTATCATTTATCAGAAAATAAACCCAACAAGGCGTCTCGACATCAAACTAAAGACTACTTGTCTGACGGCTCGATCTAGCCCGCATATCTTCATCACAATTAACGAGATATCTGTCTTCCATCAAGCTCATTTCGGATTACCAGACCGTAAGTCGCTTGTGTACTTATTAAGAATCCCTTAAGACTCAAATCAGATAGTTTTTGTAGATAATTGTTTTGATTATGGCGGATAATTGCTAGCGCGGGCGTCGGCAGATTATGAACTGGAAGGTTTATACATTTAGATTGACGAGAAGTCGTCACATCCCCAATGAAGATTATAGATTGTAGGAGAAGGGTGGCTCATGATATACTGATATGTAGTGCATTACAACTATGTGTTATTAGATATTCTTGTAGAAATTTAAAACACGATAAATGAAGGAGGGAAAATAGGGGGGATAGGGGAGGGGGAGTGGAAAATAGGGGGGATAGGAGAGGGGGTTGTAGGGGGGATAGGGGAGGGGGGAAGTTGGGGGATGGTGAGATGTGCTGGCGCTTTATGGCTCATTTAAGACCCTATTTACATGAGACAGGGTGCCCCTACATGGTAGGGCTAACTCTTTTGTTTTCTTTTCCCTGGAGGATTTAAAACAAAGGATTTTGGCCCTACCACTAGGGGCACCCTATCTCATGTAAACAGGGTCGAAAAGGGCTGCTCTTTCCTTATTATATAAAATACACTGACTTAAGTGTAACMGCATTGTGCTCTAAAAGCACTCACATTGTTCAATAATATCGTACGTTATGTTACAGCCCTTGTACTGACGTCTTTTCTTCCAGGCAAACTTATTAGAATCAGCTGTAAAACGCTCAGAGAAATCCAAATATTGATTCATCGAATTTCGTTTTCATTCTCATCTATTTACTATTCATTTCGCGGTTTTCTTTTCTTGTATTCGCTTTTCTTGTGTATTTTTTACTCCCTTTTCGTTTACTATTTTATCTTAACATATGTATTCCCAAGAAAAATATGGGAAGGCTTTGCAATTCAGAGACACAAACCAACTTTAAAAAGACTTACCACGAATTACTTAACTGAAGTATTTTTCATGCATTTTTTTTTTTTTTTCATTTTCATCTTTGAGTCGAAAACGTTTTATTTTTTTCTTTTAAATTATTTTTCTTATCCTTTCATTAATGTTTATAGCTTTTTTCAGCATGTAATGACACATATCTCTTTTTGATTCTCCCATCTCATGTATTTCGTTAATTGACTTTTAATTTCACATCTTTCGCCTTCTTTTAAGTCAATCAAAAACCCGCTTCTGATCGCATCGCGTGTACTTTACGATGCCGCTAATATACTACTAATCCAGTTACGGATCACATATCAATCTCTTATCTGCAAACACATTTCCTTCTCATATACCGATCAAAGTAATAACGTGAAATTAAAAAAAAAATGAAATATAAGTTAGAAAAAAACGTTGACCGACGCTAATTCTTCGTTTTGGAGTGATGTCAAAAAAAACCGTGAAATAGATATTACACTAATACACCTTAGTACGCTCTAATTGCATTGTTTGTTTTGTGTGTGTTTGTGTCTACTTGACCATCACTCTTTTAATAGTCAAGTGTTGTTTCACGGATTTAGTGACTTGCAATTAGAGTGTACTAAGGTGTATTAGTGTAATATCTATTTCTCTTTGACATTCGATACTTTCCATTCGACATTCGGCGATTTCCATTCGACATTCGGCGATTTCCATTCGACATTCGACAATTTCCATTTAACATTCCTTGATTTCAAATTCAATGATTCCTTCTCGCTTAATTTGTGGACTGAAATAGTTGAATTCCAAGAATGGATAATTCTCGGGTTGCACGTTACCTCATAGCCGCCATATTGGATGATGTAACAAAGCATTTATCATTAGTTTCTATTGTTTATTCATCCAACATGGCGGCGATAGCTTTGTACTATATTTCTCGAGGAAATTTTTGATTATGTGGTTGAAACCTAAGAATTTATTGTTACATAGTCAGTGGTAACATTGCTAGTTTTCGTCAAATCACGCTAATATTTTATGTTTCTTTTCCAGAAACTGTCCGTGTTTTGCTGACAAAGGGTGCCAATGTGAACGATCCAGGGGGTGTTCACTGCCAGGGCGTCACCCCTCTCCATGACGCCTCTCAAAATGGTCATATCGATATCGTGAAACTACTGGTTGAGCACGGCGCCTCCTTGTTGAACAAAGATAAAAATGTATGTATTAGAGGAGTTCAAACACTGGGGAGAAACGCTCGACGCATGCTCGAAAGGGGAGCGTATGATAACTGGAAGCAACTTTTTGATGTCGGTGTTTTCAGTCTTGCACAAAATTCGCAAAAGTCAAAAAAATACTTTTTGCGTCATATATGGTACAAACATTAAWACTGTGCAACATAAATACCACTAAATTATGCTAATTCTATTGTTCAATTAACACTATTTTGTAGTAAATAGTGGAAAGTGTTGCACACATTTAATGTTTGTACTCTATGACATGGCCAATATTTTCTTCAGAAAGTACTAGTGCTRGGCAACTTCAAAAAAATATTGGCGATGATATCCCATTATTTCTGATATATTTCATATATACTTGGAATATGAGTCAAAAAGATCATAATTCCTGTAAATTAAACGCCCTTTTCTTGTTTAAAACTTATGCATGCGTAGAGCGTTTGTCCCAAATGTCTTTCAAACATCGTCCTTGAAATCACTGTTATCTAATGTAACCATGAATCCATAAAGCAAATCCTCTAAGCTCTTTTTGGTACGTTTCAGGGTAAAACACCTTTGGACTCGGTCATTGCAGTGCAAAGATCMGAAGACTCGGATTTGACCGGCTCGGAAACCGCCGAGGCAGCTGGTAGAAAGAAAGTTGTCAAATACCTTAAAAAGTTTGCATTGGGAAAGAATTTGAACAACAACATCACTTGCCCTGAGATTACTCGACGAAATCGTCTATTTTTTGAGGACAGCGACATATTTGATAAAGATGATGATGATGATGATGATGATGATGATGATGATGTCATCATGCCATCATTTACGCAATTCAAAGAAAAACTTCAAAGCCGCGACAAAAAGCGCGGCAAAAATCGCCAACGCGCAAGCATCGACAGTGATGACGACAGTGATGACGTCAGTGCTCCATTCGTCCCCAGTCCTTTAGTTGACAGTAGTCCCATTGAAGATTCGATAGAGATTTTAAATTCGTTAAATGACAATCCCATCGAAAAGCGCGCTGCGATTCAAGAACAACATGCACACATCGATGATTTTGAATCAAGTTCGCCAATTGGTTTCGACAGCGACGACTCGATGACTCACCATAATAGGGCATCTACTTCCCATGATGCATTGTTTTCACGTGACAATGATCGAAATATGGATGACTCGATTCCTCAGTCCTTCGTMCCATCGTCCAGTTCCTCGGTTAGCTACATTGATACGGTTCACGGTAGTCATGTTGGGAGCAGAGAGAGCGAGTCAGTACCTTCTCTTATTTCTGAACGGGACTTGGAGTACGCCATGGGTGCAACCGTGAACGATGATTCTGATTGGCTGATTGACGATATGAGGCCACTCAAACGCCGACGTACAAACCCTAAACAGGCAAGTAATCTTAATTGTGATGATAGGGGTGATTCAGCTGATAAAATCACATATCTGTATAACTAATGAAGAGGAGGGACCCCTCCCAAGAGTGTAGTGTTGCTAAGATACATCGTTTCGGTCTACGGGTACGAGTAGGTGAGCATGTTTATCTCGGACTTTGCACAAAGGATTCTATGGCTTCCCAAATTTGATAATGTCGTCATCTTTCCACCCGGTAACCTACCTGTTTCGACGGTGCAAGAGGTATTTTACCCGTATTTACGGATAGAGAATACGATTAGGGGTACGTTACCTATACACTGATACCCTGTGTTTTAAAAATCTCTAATGATAATAATCAATGATTAATATTAGTTAATATATACTAATGATATCCTATATGGTACCACTATGTCAGGCCACYCTGGGTAAGTCCCTCCAGCTCTCCAGTAAACGTCCCATCGCTTATCAAAGGAAAACTCCAAGAACTCAARGTAGCACSGCCACAAGAACCCACAATACTCCCTCGTCACGGAATCATRGTAYCAACTCMAATAGAACCTCAAAACCAAGGCAAACAAGACTCGAAGTTGTACGGACTCCAAGTCCTACATTTGGATCTATGTCTGACATCCCGTCGTATAACGATCCTGGTCTAAACGCACCAAGGCAATCACGTACCTCGGGGACATCTTTCCAAGGTGAACCTTCTGGGGTATATAGTAACACCG